GTTGACTTACTGAATCACACAAGGGTAGGCCGGGATATGCAAATGTGAAGAACCATTTTTTTCTCCAATATCATCAACTCCAAATTCAAAGATTTGATTTAGCTTATTGCTAGCCTCTGTATAAACACCGTCCCTGATGAATCATGATAAAAAGATATGGTTCATAACACGAAACACGAAAATAAACAAGAAAAAAACTGAAACATAAAACTTACGACACATTAGTCCTTAAGCTTCTATTGATGAAAGTGTTCCACTTACACAATACTCTGAAATCAACAGGATTGTCAATATTTTCCTGAAAAGGATACTTTATAGTCAAGATGGACTTCTTTGACTTAGTTGGCTTATTTTCAACAACTTGGATGGTGCCACCAGAGTCAAATGTGTTCATGAATAGTGACTTCATGACCCCTGCCGGTTTCCTTTCTCTAGGGATCATTTCAGGTGTGTCATGATCAACAACAACTATACAATCTTCCTCCATAGTAGCAATATTTTTATCCACTCCTAAACAATCACCATGTACAATATTTTGATTGAAATACTTTTAGGTGATTGCAGTTATTTGAGCCTCAGCATCACTACTCCAACTTCCTTACAACTATTTTTACCAAGTTGTACAGAATCATCCACCAAACTCCCCATAATAGCAGTATTTTTGTCACAAAACTGCTGGGTGATTGCAGTGATTTCAAGCTCGGCATCCTCAATCCAGGCTTCGTCATTACCAACTCCTTCACTATTTTTACCATCTTGTATAGAATCCTTCACCACACCCTCCATAACATTAACAGTTTGCTCTAGACTTACCTCATTGTCAATATTTTTCTTTACAACTTCTTCAATGCCAATATTTTTCTCCATAACTTCCTCACTACCAAAATTATTCTCTGAAACTTCCTTATCATGATGGTTGTCATCTTTTCGATTACCCTGTTAAGAAAAAATATACAAAAAGTTGTAAAATTATACTCCCTCCGTTTCAATTTATATGAACCTATTTCCTTTTTGTTCTGTACCAAAAAGAATAACCCCTTTCTTTATTTGGAAATAATTTACCTTTATGCAATAATTTATAGCCACACAAAATATATGTGCCTCATTTACACCACAAGTTCAAAAGTCTTCTCACTTTTCTTAAACTCTGTGCCCAGTTAAATGGGTTCACATAAATTGAAACGGAGGGAGTAGTAAAAGGTAAAAATAACAAATAAGCATAGTCATGAGAATACCTTTGAAGCATCGCGTTCACCTAGAGCTTTAAAAAACTTTTCAAATGAGGAAATCATTAAGTTCTCCAAAGATGAAACCTTGTCGTTTACCTATAAAAGGAAAAGTGAAATCGAATATCAATTAAGTTGTCAAAACTGCTCAAAGACAAAATAGAATTGTACCTTCTTGATTTCGCTTCTCAGAAGTTTCAGCTCTTTCTTGCTTGAATTCAAGTTACTGGCCTGTGGATCCGGATTCTCATTGTTGATAGATTGTGATTCCGGCTTATTTTTGGAGTGCTTCTTAGCATTTGTTTTAACTTCAGCCACAACTCCAGATTCAATATGAATCTCATTTTTATCTTCACAAACCAGGACAAAGTCATGCAATTGAAGCCTTGTTTGTTCATCATTTGTTGGGGAAATGTTACTAAATACCAACTACAAATAAATAAATAAAAGTTAGCAATCATGATTTTTTTTAAAAGACAACTTATGTATCATAAATGTATCAGAATGCATAATTCATGTATCAGAAATGCATAATTCATGTATCAGAAATGTATATTTTTTACCTGCTCCTGACTTAAAAGAAAAAACTCTTTCCTCAACCTCTTAAACATCACCTTATTCTTTACTTTCCAGTTAAGTATGCGTGGCACAAGATCTCCAATCCGGTACATCATTCATAAAACCAATACTAGAATGCCAAAGGCAAACCACCATATCAGTACATTTCTCTCTTGTTACGAACCTTATCCTTCATTGACTCCAACGTAGCATTAAAACCCACTTTTCCCCAAGGGAAAGTCTCAAAATCACCAGATTCAACCAACAGAAAATCATTCTTTGTTATCAAATAACCATTCGTTATAGAAAACAGGAAACTGTGAATGATATACAATACTGCAATCTTTAATGCATCCTCATCAGATTTCCACATCTTTTTTAAGAAACGGTCAGTTAATAATTTCTTAGACACTTTCGACATGCTTGAAAAGTACAATTCCATCCACCGACTCGACTGGACAGATTCATAATCCTTATTGGGATCACCATTACACTTTAAACCTGTGATAATAGAAAACTCTGCAAGTCCAAAGCGCAACTTGGTACTATTCATTTTAATCCATAACTCATTATCTTTAAGTGACACTACTTCCCTAAGCAATAGTGAATGGATAAGTTGGTTCTGTATAAAAAATTCGGGCAAGTCCACAAAATAACCAAAACATGTTCTTCTAAACATCTCAATCTGCTGATCATCTAAATTATCTTTCAAATGTTTTACTATACTACAGTTTGTATACACACTGATACGAGTACTATAATGATCACCCAAAGGAACATAGAAATCCCAAAGCTGCAAACAACACAAAAATATAAATATATATAAGCTTCATAACAATCACAAATACACACTTTAAACATTACTTATACAATATGTGGATAGATGATACACTTTATATACAAAAATTGCACATTACTTAGTGACTTGATACTTATTATATACAATATGAAAAAGAATGATATATTTTATATACAAATCTGAAATATAACTGCTATATTGGTTAAATTTCTACATATTAAAATAAACTAAGTGCACACAAGTCAAAGTTATATCATTAGAAAATACCTTCAAATCAGATGAGCTAGAACAATTTTGATCAACATGAACTTTTCTCTTTTTTGATGGAACATCATCCCCGTTACTTTTAGCCTTCCTTTTAGAACCTTTACCCTTATCCTTCACAACATCCTTTCCCACTATTTTAATCTTTCTTTTTGAACTTGTGCCTTTTTCAACAACTACATATTGAGCAGTGTGTGACCTCGTTACTCTATCGCTGGGAGTCCCGCTATGAGAACAAGTCCTTCTATGAACAAGGGTATTTTGCATTGCTTCAACAGATTTATGGGTTGCATGCCCCAAATCGCACCCAAATTCTGGTAAATCTTCAAAATCGTCATCGTCATTGCTAATGAAATTAGGAGTATATTTCACTAATTGACCGACTAATTTCAGAGAATTTAGAGATGCCTTCATCTTCCTTTTTTTCTTCAAAGACTTCTTTTCCCCCGTTATAGATACGACTATGAACAAAAATCGGAAAACCTAGAGTTGACTATGAACAAAAATCGGAAAACCTACTGAAATTTTGACTTACATTGAAACCAAGAGTAAAAATGCAGAAGCTGTGTTTGAGAAGAAAGGTGTTTTGAGAGAACCGAGTTAAAGGAGTGAGTTAAAAGGCGTGGGTGGTTTATGAATTATGGGCTAATAGATGTAATAAGTTTGAGTCGGAGGGACATTTCGGGTCCAAGGGAGAAACTTGGGCTATTAAAATTTTGTAGGGCCATACAAGGTAGTTTTCTCTATTTAATTTTGGGCTATACTACCCGCACCAATTGTAAACTGTAGGCCCATTTTGATCAATTTAGGGTTACTCTTCTAATTCTTCCTGCCTATAAAAAGCAACGACTTTACCATCCACTTCAGTCATCAACTCTCAGAAATCGCAACTTGTTATTTTAAAGTCTGTTTCTTCTTATGGTTTTCGAATCTGTTTTTCTTGTCTTTATTGATTTGATTAGAATTATGAAAAAAGCCAATTTGCAGAGCAAGTGCGTCAATAAACGATGACGAACACTTGCATTGAAGGTTGGCGATATCAATAAGCGATTCTCCGTGCCTTTCAAATACTCTTGTTTTGCTTACGGCCTCGAACAAGTCGCTACATTTTTATCACATTTACGAACAACGCATTTTTCTCCTTTCAATTAATTTTTGTTTTTTGAGTCTTTTTTTTTTAAAAAGAAAGACAGGATTAAGATTTCTTTTAAAGTTTTAAGCTTTTCGCTCTCGAAGAAAATCATGTTTCCAAAATGAAAATTATTTTGTTTTCCTATTCTCTTATGCCTGTAGAAGAATTCATATTTCAGAGACCATTGTAATTTTAAACAAATTACTTTAACTAAGATTGCTTTATTAAAATTTTAGATGTCTACCAAATTAAGATGGATATAATCCGGAGTCTTAAAAGGGCAGTGACAGTTGATTAGTTTGTTAGACCTGTTATTAAGAGTAAATCAGATTTTAATTTTGAGTAGTTGAAAGATGTGAACATTTTGGAATAACTTGAGAATAAATTGGAGAAAAAAGTGGGTTGAACTGATCAATAGTTCAGCTGATTCTCATGTCACATGCACTGAATACAAATAACCCTTTGACGCAGTAAGAAAAGGAAAACGAAAAAGACAATTGAAATCTACTCGCATAATTTGCCTTTTGATATCAGGGATTAATATTATTATTATTTAGTTTAATGAATGAATTTGGTTAACTCTTGTCATGTTTGATCTAAATTAAAAGATTCATGTACATATTTTTTATAGTGAAATAAACTTGTGAATCTAAAAACATTGAGTACTTCTAGGCACATATAAGTAGTATTAAAAACTATTGTGATTAATGTAAACTATTTTGACAATACATGATAACTTAGTCAAATAAATTTTGTGAAAAAAGAATAGTTTTATTCTATTATTTGGTAGTGGAAGAAAACATGCAGTAGAGAGGAAAAAGAAAAAGATGGAGTGTCATTTGCTATGAAGGAAATTTCCAGTGGCAAACACAACAATTAAATGGGGAAAAGTTGCTGCTCATATATGAAATAATTTCTAAATTTTAAAGAGTGTAAAATAGCGAGATATAATTTTATTTGAAAAAGAAGACCAATCTGACATCAAACCAAACAATTCGGTTAAGGTTAATCAAAGTGAAGATGTCCAAACACAAATCCATTGTCAGTGATATATAAGATGAAAAAGAATGAGTACACTCAATCATAGTAAAATCTTCTTATGGCCACTTCGTTATTGTACATCAACTATTCTGTGAACATACCCACTCATTAATAAGAATGTTCCGCAAAAAAAATGAAAGAAAAAAAAGAGAACATGCAAAGAACAATCACACAAATCTGTTAAATGGTCTCCTCCCAACTACTGCGGGCATTGAGACAGTTGAATCCACACTTATATGATCCGCCATAGACTCTTGTTTATCGACTTCTTTTCGAGAAGCAGAATCCTTTCCAGAACCTTTGCTCCATTTGGAAGACCAAATATTTGGAGTCAAAGGGAAGGAAAATCTTTTCTTTGTGTCACTGGATGGTTTTGATGAAATTCTCTCCTTAGGATTGCTACTTGCTCTGAGTTTAGCTTTAGCTGAGACAGTAGGTGCCATGTAATGTGGAGCCGAAAAGGGAGGGCAGCTCGTGAGGCTATCGTCGTCCTTCAATGGAAGATCAAAAGGGTAGTTAGTAGCACTAGCTCTGGTTCTTGAATACTTTCTTAGACTTGAGCTGTTCACTGGTGGTGTTCTACTTGGAGTATGCATTTGTTTTCCCCTTGTTGGAAATGCTGACTTGGTTGACATTGGTGTGACCGATTCATGGTTATCGTAATCAGAGAGTATGCGTCTGAAATTGTTGTTTAGAGGTGTTGGACTTGGTTTGTGCTCTGAAATTGCCCTTGCTGGTGTGACCGATTCATGATTATTGTACTCCGAGAATAGGTGTCTCAAATTATTGTTTAGCGGAGTTGGACTTGGTTTGTGCTCTGAAATCGTTCTTGGTGTTGTTAGGTTGATATCTTTCACAGTAGATTGGCCCTTGTATGCATTTTCAGAAGGTGGCTGGCGTTCAAACCAATTCCACCACAATCCACTAGCTCCCATGTCCAGAGCCGATTTTGGATCACCTTTCCATAGCTGATAAAAGAGGTAATTTAACAAGATTAGCATTAAACCTAGGTACGAGAGATGTTTAATTGTCAATCTGCACTCAGCCGAGATTAGTAACAACAAACAACAATCAAGACCTTGAACACTAATTACCAGTGGCGTATGCGGAATTTTACACGGTGGTTACCCCGTTATCACCAGGAACATGGTAAAGGATAGAAGTAATCGATCAGGCATTCGCCAACTATTGTAATTGTTAAAATCTTTGACAACATAAAAGGACCATTAGTCAACTTTTTGACAACATGAAAAAGCTGTTGTACCTGGTGAGAATAGGCATATGCCATTGCTCTCTCCCTTTTGATGACTGCCTCCACTTTCTTCCGCATCCTTGCTTCTACTTCTTCTTTGGTTAGCAAACTATCATCCCAATTATCATGGTTACCTGCCTCACACTATACCAATATTTTTTTCTCAATCGTCAATGGAAAACTCAAATCTCTTCGAATAACAAGAAAATCGCAATAACAACAACAAATAATCCCACAAAGTGGGGTTTGGGAGGGGTAGAATGTACATATAGGTTACTCCTACCTTGTGAAAATAAAGAGTCCTACCTTGTAAAAATAGAGAGGTTGTTTCGATAGAACTCCGGCTCAAGGTAAAAGTAAAAGAAGGAGATAACAACATGTAGTAACATCAACATGATAAGGTGATAAGGTGACAGGGTGATAGAATAATCGAAGCAAAATGATCAACATATATTAAAAGAAACATACTAATAACAAGAAAAGCACATGAGTTTTAATTTCGACTGTTACCAATATCTCTGCACCGAAACTCATGAAGATATAAGAAAAAACTCATGAACATGGTCCAAACATACCAGCTGAGTCCATTTGCTCGTGATGCTCTCAACGTCCTTATCGTTCCTGTATGCTTGGTGTTGAAGTGCCTGGTTTTCCAACATTTGGATCCTCCTTGACTGAATTTGAGTTTGGACCCTAACCAGAAGTTGCATCTGCTTCATGGCATTTGCTGTTTGCTTTTTTACATTACTACTCCTCACCACTCCTTGAAGCCTTACTAAACCCCTCAATGCTCGGAAACTCCTCCTTGCCTGTGAAACAGAGGACACTCAGATTGGAATTTTAACATTTTTAAACAATCGATACATTCTCTGAGAACCAAAGTCAATCTTGACCCACCAATCAACTTCTTTTGAAAGAAATGGGATAATGGTTTCTTAATCCTTCATCCCTCCTTGAAGAGGAAAGAATAAGTTAATTAACAGTCGCAAAGTGTTATATGTTTCCACTTGACATAAGAAGCTATTCGTAGTATGCAATTAGGACAAACTTGGCAATATGATAAGAATTTCGCGATGGAATTTCTTATTATTCGCTGCTTGTTCCACTGGATCATATCATCAGTAGGTGTTAGATAGCTTAGATAGTCACAACCATTTCATGAAGAAAATATTTTATCACAAACATGGGTTTGCTCTTTCGCAGTTAATCTGTTAATGTTTATCATTGTCATTAACAAAGAGAGCTTCAAGCACGTAGATGTTTATTAGACAAGCGAACGAAATTTCATATCAGGAATAACATACTTTCATCCAATATTTCATATTTGCAATTATAAACCAACAACTTTTAACTCGACATATGACGGCTGAATAAACATGTCTGGCTAAATTCATGATGTATTGCTAAAACTGCAGGTAATGCCTTTAAATCTGAACAGTTACAAGAATATATGAAAGATAGATGCAAGTCTTTTACTGCTACTAAGATTGGCAATGGGTCTGATACTATATTTGAAGTAGTTGTTTGAATTTCGTATACATGCAAGCTAGTTCTTTGCTAATGGTAGAAAAGGGAGAATGAAGAGTGGGAGCTGTTCGTAGATGGAGGAAGAAGCCATCTGAATCGGATTTTTGAGTAACGTATCGAGAAAGAACTAGATTTTGTCACACAATGTGTATTGCAGCCCACTCTACTGAATCAGCTGCTCTGTTATTGTAACTAACGATCAAGAATTGTTTTCCTCTGCTCGCACTGTTAAGAACTAAATCACGAGCTTCTGATTAAAAAAAAATTAGCCAACATCGCAAGAGGCAATTATATTGAAACCTACCATGTAACCTCTGTAGGCTGCCTGTATCTTGGTTGCTGAAAGCTGGAGATTCCTCAAAGTTGGTTCTGGTCTATAAGCATAGCTGATTTCTTTGCGATTTCGATTAACCTTAGGAGAAGTAGCTTTAGGAGAAGAAATCCTTGGAGTCGGGACCTTAGGAGAAGTAACCCTTTGAGAGGCAGCCTTCGGAGAATTAAGCCTGTGGGAAGAAACCTTAGGAGAGGCAACTCTTGGAGAAGTAGCAGTAGGAGAGGCAACTCTATAAGAAGAAGCCCGAGGAGAGTCGACACTAGGTAAAGTGAATCTTGGAGTAAGTAGTTTTTGTTCATCTGCTTCTCCCAGTATTTTCTCAATACTACTTGGCTCTCTGAAGAGAGGAATAAATGATTTGTTCTCTCCATGCTTCAGTTTTCCGCGACCTTTCTTTTCCTTAGCACTTTTCTTCTCTGATTCCTGCAACAATCGTCCGGTTTAGGTTAGTACTATATATGAGATACATATGTATACATATAGCAAATTCTTCCGGTGATTCCAGGAAGATCCTTTCAAAAATATTTCAGGCATATACATGCTATAGAGCAGAAATTTCTGTCAACAATGCTTCCGTTGTCCCATTTCATACTGTTGAAGTGTGTGAACTTCTCATCTAAAAGCTTAAGCTGAAGTTGTCATAGCAAGTACACTTTTAATTAGTTAATTATGTCTTCAATACATACGACTTGATTTGTAGTATTCGAATTTAAGTTCACTCAAATGTTACGTACACACACTTTTCAAATAGAGGAAATAAGACACTAATTGTTGAAGTTGGTTCATAAACTAGTTTTCTAGGGGAAAATTTTCACTGTAATCTGAATTATTATGGATGTGAACAATAAAATAAAAAATCCCAGAAAGCTAATTTCAAAATGTTAAGGTAACCACACTTTTTGCTCCAATGAAATAATATAATTTCAAAAATGTGAAATAAACTTACATTGGGTAGCTTCTCCTTAGAGCTGGGTGTAAACACCCTTTTGATAGCAGAAAACCAACTGCCTTTCTTCCCCATGGTTCTAGCATTACTTTTTCACCTTGAAGAAGTAGCAAATCAACTTTAATTTAACATTTGATGATACAAAAAGAATTCTACAGAATTTACATATAGAGTTGGAATTAGTATTTTAAATATTGTATAATCAAATTATTCACTATGAAATGATTCTTTGAACATTTTTCGGAGAGAGAGAGAGAGCGATCAGGCAAAGATGGATAAAAAGAATTCATGGAAAATAGAAATAATGAATATAGGGAAGAAAAAGATGTGGCTTAATCTCTTTATGATCCCTTTAAATTAAATTTAAGGTTTGAACATTAAATGCAACCCAAGAATAAAACTTATAATGGCCAATACTAATCTTCCCACCAGCCATAATTAAGATCACATATATGATATAACGTGAAATTAAGATCTTATGTTAAAAGTATATGGTATCCTCATTGAGAGCATATATTAAGTAGACGGTTTGCTCAGCTTTTTCCATCTTTTTGTTTTCAACTTTTACATCTAAGCTTCTCTTCAAGCACCCCAAAAGACAAAATAAGTTATTTACATCTTGGTTTAGATTTCCAACTTGATCTCCATTTCTCTAAAGATGGTGATAAAGAGAGAGATTGTCTTAAATGCCGCTAAAATAATTTAACTTATATATACTGACAAATAGTGATAGAATCATAAAATATTAACATGCACACACAGAAAAAAAGATGGCAACAGTAGCAAACAGAAGAGAAAGAAAAAAAGAAGAAAAGATTTAGTTAAATTTCCCACCAAAAATCATTAATAAGAGAAGAAAAGAAGCTTACTTTTTCCCCTGTAATTAAGACAATTAATGCAGATATTCCAAAAAAGTAAATTTTAGTTCCTAAAGAAAGATCCAAATTACCTCAACTGGTGTTCTGAATCTTCCATAGACCATTATCAGAAAAGCTGCAACAAAAACCAAAAGCAAATTACAATACAAGAACTGAACTTTAGCTACAGCTACCCTTTCTCTTTTTCTTTCTCTCTCTAGATTCTTGGTTGTTCGAGGTTATCTTTCTAACTCACTTTCAGTTTGCTATACACATAATATGGTGTGTCCTTTTTAGAATTTTGATTTCAAAACTTGCCAACTACTTTGAAACTTCTTCTTGGTAGCTGGCAAGAATTTTTTTATTTTTTCCTTTTTATTGTTATGGAATATTGGAATGTATGTATATTTTCACCTTTTCTTTTCTCCTCTTTACCTTTCACCTTTTGAGTTTTTTATAATTTTTCTTTTGGTTTTAATGATGAAAGGATCTAAAAGGAACGATTCATATTTGACAATTTGTTTTTGAATAAGGGATAATCTTTTTTTGGTGGGGAAGGAGGTTGGCCACTTTAACACTCGATGGAAGCCTTTTTGGCGGGCCTCCACAACTAACTTTACTTAAATGGGAAGCCTATTTTACCTATCAAATGCTATCTCACCACCTATTACTTAGTATTTTAAACAACTAATATTAAGTTTGGTATAAACATTTCGAAATTCGATTACTACTACTAATCTTTTTCATTGTCACGTACGTTTGCGGGACAATGACACTTATTTGGACCCCCAAGTGACGTCTAGAATTGATAAGCTTAGTTAGAAATTTCGCATTCTAATTTTGAAAATTTAAAAAATTCATGATAAAGAGTACTTTTTCTTTTAGTAGATCGAGTGAATCCAAATTAATTAGGCTAATATATATAACTAAATTTATGGACCCTTAGGCCTTAACTATCTAAAAGAGTCGCATTAAAGTTATGATTTCTACTTATGTCTTTCCTCTTCTGCTTAATCCATAATGATGAATTTTACAACCAATTTTGGCCAATTTTCTCACTTTAACAATTACTCCGTTTGTTTCATTTAATTTTGAATTTATTTAACTGGTAAAGAGGTTTAACAAAGAAAAACTTTTGAAACTAGTGTTCTTAAATAAGTCATAGACATTTTTTGTTGCTATATAATCATGACATATTAAAGTATAACAAGAAGTTTTAAAGTAAATTATTTTTAAATTCAAAAAGATGTCGTTTTATTATTTGTGGCTTGAATTATTTTCTTGTATTTTTAGGAAATCCATAGTCCCTATAGGTTTAGGAAAAACCATTGTCCTAATAGATTTGAGAAAGGAAAACCTATAGTCCTTGTCAAATTGGGAAACCTTTCTCATATATGTTTGAGATCTTTTGAGATCTATATATAGGGGTTGTAGTTGGGGATTCTATAGATTGTATTGTGCTTTTCTTCTCATTCATAGTGGAAACTCTCTCTGCTTTTGCCCCGAGGATTTGGCTTAGCCGAACCTCGTTAAATCCTTGTGTTGATTTTTCTTCTCTACTTACTTTGTGTGTGATTATGTGCTAGTTAACCCACGATATTCCGCAACAATTGGTATCAGAGCAAGGTTTGGGTTTCTACATATAATCTAGGGTTAAGATGTCTTTATCATCTTCAACAAAGTACGAAGTAGAGAAATTTGACGGAGGTTCCAGTTTCAGTCTATGGAAGATTAGGATGAAATCGTCCCTGGTGTTACAAGGATTATGGAAAGCAGTTGATGAAGATTTTTCTAAAGATATGAAAGAGACAAAGAAGTAAGACCTGAAGGAGAGGGCTTTGAGTGCGGTCTTCATGAGCGTTACAGATAGCGTTCTTTGAGAAATTGCAGAAGAAGCTTTTGCAGCAACGACATTGAAGAAACTGGAAGATCTGTATTCTAAGAAATCGCTGACAAACCGCCTCTACCTGAAAAAGAGGTTATACAATCTCCGTATGAACGTAGGTACACCTATTAAAACTCACCTTGATGAGTTTAATTCAATTATAATGGACCTGAAGAATGTGGATATCAAAATTGAGAGTGAGGATCAGGCCTTGATTGTGTTATGTTCATTACCACAATCTTATTGAAAATGTTGGTTTATGTTTAGTTAACAATGGCATGCTGAAAATGTTGGTTTATGTTT